TTGGAGAGGTTTGGTGATGTTTGGTGAGGTTTGGAGATGTTTGGAGATGTTTGGAGAGGTTTGGTGATGTTTGGTGAGGTTTGGAGATGTTTGGAGAGGTTTGGTGAGGTTTAGAGAGGTTTGGAGGTGTTTGGAGATGTTTGGAGAGGTTTAGAGAGGTTTGGAGAGGTTTAGAGAGGTTTGGAGGTGTTTGGAGATGTTTGGAGATGTTTGGAGAGGTTTAGAGAGGTTTGGAGGTGTTTGCAGAGGTTTGGAGATGTTTGGAGAGGTTTAGAGAGGTTTGGAGGTGTTTGGAGAGGTTTGGTGATGTTTGGTGAGGTTTGGAGATGTTTAGAGAGGTTTGGAGATGTTTGGTGAGGTTTGGAGAGGTTTGGAGAGGTTTGGTGAGGTTTGGAGATGTTTGGAGATGTTTGGAGAGGTTTAGAGAGGTTTGGAGGTGTTTGGAGATGTTTGGAGAGGTTTAGAGAGGTTTGGAGGTGTTTGGATAGGCCCGCTCGTCAGGGTTGCATCACTGAACTGCTTTCAGTTCATTGTCCCGATCAAATTCGTAAAATATTTGGGTGAACTTAAATATGTTGTTAAAATGTTCCTCTGATGCTAAACTGACCTTTTCAACGAGATCAGCAGACTTTATCTAATAAACTCTGAATTTACTGTTCACATGATTCAAATCAACATCTCAGTCATTAGAGATGATATTGATACGTATGTAGACTAGAGGATCATAGTGTGTATTTATTCTGTTGTATATTGTTAACATATAGTTATTAAGTGTATGTGGAGCCTCAGATTGTTCTCAGTTCATCCTCACCTTCATCATATTCTTTGTTCATGTAATGAGGACGAAGAGCAGACGGGAGGAGTTTGGTAGATGTAGTTCTACATGTTAAAGTCTTTTACCTTCAAGTCCTCCGAATGTAAAGATGAAACAGGTTGTTTGTCCTCATGCTGTTTTATTCTGTTGACCTTTAGAGATTCGTGATATCATTTCCTGCTCCGCTGCACTTCATGTTTGGTAGAATTAAGACATTTATACATTTCAGTGACACGTTCATCTCCCAACAAACCTGATCAGGGTGTTCACTGTGAACAGGGGAGGAATATCTCTCACTCTTTAATTCACTTCTATGGTGTTAGTACCCATCACCGCTCACATACTGCTGGAGACCCAGGACGTACTGCTGGACCCGCTGGAGGGAAGGGAGGCACGGGAGAACCAGAACCAGGACTGAGAGGGGCAGACTGTCAGACCCTGCTGCAGTAACATGAGAGGGACTCTGGCGCTCAGAGACACTACCACTTTAGTCCACAGGGGGCGACAGAACCAACACACAATAAAAGCTCATCATAGTAGCTTTAAGTACTTAACTACATTTAGCTGACAATACTGATGTACTTTTACTTCAGTGAGTATTTTCAGTGTGGTATTAGTACTTTTACTTCAGTGAGTATTTTCACAGTGTAGTATTAGTACTTTTACTGCAGTAAAGTATCTGAATACTTCTTCGTCCTCTTCTGGTCTCAGGTTGATGCCGAACAAAACTAATGATGATTGTAGTCCTTTAACTTTCACCAGAACAACCTCTGAACCAGAAGATGAGTCATCTGCAGGAGGTGAAAGTTCAGCCCCCCCCCCCTTTCTTCTTCTGTTCATTCTGTGTTCCTGGTGTGAAATGCCAGAAGGTCTGAGCTCCGACACACTGACCTCTGACCTTTGAAGAGGGGAAGGTCTAATTGAGACTTCTGCTGGCACCCTGGTGACTGAGCACACACACACACACACACAAAGACTCACACACACACACACACACAGACTCACACACACACACACATACACGCACACACACACTCACAGACACACAGACTCACACACACATACACGCACACTCACAGACACACACACACTCACAGACACACACACACATACACGCACACACACACGCAGACACACACACACACACACACACACACACACAGACTCACACCCACACACACACACACACACATGCACACACACGCAGACTCACACACACACACACACACACACAGACTCACACACACACACACACACACACAGCCAGTCGAGTGTGAACCCTGACCTGTGACCTGGGTTGAGAGGTGTACTGGGTCCTTATGAGGAGCAGCCGGCTCTCCTCTGGATATCTGAACCATTGTGTGAAGGCCACAAGGTTTGACTCAAGTTTTGATTGTAAAGAGACAGATGTTCACGATGCAATGCAGGATGACTGGAGAAAAAGTTAAAGAGCGAGCTCATCGTGGTTGAGTGTTTGAACGTTAAACCTCCTGTAGCTTACATACCAACATGGAGACTGTGAGTCTTGCTGTGTTTCTGAAGAGGTTGTTTCTGTGTGTTTACAGCTCAACAAACAGACCGTTGATCGTTCTCCGTCAACGTTGATTTATTTCTCACATAACTTACATACTTCAGTAATTATTTGAACCCAAACATAACTGAGTTGTTTTCTGTGAAGACCGAAGTCTATTTTGAAAAGACTGAATGCGTGTTAAAGAGCGTAAATTGACACGTGTTGCTGGACTTTTGTTGGAAAAAAACCATTGTATGAGGACACATTGAAATATTAGATGCTCAGAACAACTGACTTAGTATAAAGACGTCCTGCCGTTGTTAAATCAGGAAACAAACACTGTAGCCTAGCACCGATCGATCCAGACTCCGTTGAGAAACAAGTATTTTAAAAGTTATTTATCTTGTCGTCTTGAGGAGAGAACTAAACATGAATTCAGACTTTTTACAAATCGGCATCATTACGTAGTTATTTCGGCATCACTTTTTGTCGGTTTATTGCCGTTAAATCAGTTTGTTTAGTGTTGAGATATATATATATATATATATATATATATATATATTTATATATATTGCAATCCTAAGGCAGATTTACATAAATAAAAGAAAAAGGTGACATCACAACTGTCATCTATGTGACAGCAACAATAAAAGATCAGAAGGATCTAGTGGTTGACCTGTTAGTGAAGTCTTTATAATGGAGTAGAGCTAATGTAACTGTAACCTTAAGCACAGGATGGTCAAATGGAGATATTACTAAAGGACTAATAGCTTAATTCAAAGCTACGGTTGCTGAATGTTTGTCCCCGGTGAAGAGGTCGTCTTCTCTCAGCTCCCGGCTCCCTAAAACAAAACTAAATGTAGAGTTAGTTTTATTTCACACCACAAAACAGAAGTATCAAAATACTCAAATTCAGTTTATCCGTGTAGTTAATGTCAACGCTTGTAACGTTACCTGACTTAAAGTGATATTTCAGATTCACAACCTGTCTACCTGAGCTCCTGTTGGTCTCTTTATGGACATGATATGAAGTATAAATCATCTGTAAAATCATCTCGGGATGTGCTGGGCTGCGAAGGATCCATCAGTTGTGTCCTCCGAATCTGGGGGCTGAAGGCTGTTCGTCGGCTGCATTTGAAGGAGTCTTCGAAAGCTGCGACGCAACCGGTCTACGAATGCAGCCCCCGAGGGATGCAGCCCCTGAATAGAGACACACCTACACACTATTTCCTAGTTGTTTGTGACTTGACGGCATTCTCGTCCAATCAGGAGACTGGAGCTGGGGTTTCAGTGTCAGTTACTGGAAGCAACAAGGGAACCAGGAAGAGAAGCTCATGCCGACCAGAGTGTCACCATCCTGCACGCCAGGGTCGCTCAGAAGTCCTACGGCAACGAGAAAAGGTTGGACGAGTTAGTTACAAAGTCAAAGTATTTAAGTATTATCAGCTTCATGTAGTTAAAGTAGTTAAAGTATTGATTGATGAGTAAAATGTTTTCTTATTCTATCAGATGTTTATAGATTAATATTCCTGCTGCATTAACTTTATATCCTGTTTAATCTACATCAACGCATCATATTCTATAAGATCATGAAGACGTAGGATGATTCTCTTAACACGTAGAGGAAATCTTCATCCTTCAGTTTATCAAAAATATTCAACACCAACACATCTGGAAATACGTGGTTTTACCTGAAGAGAAACCAAAGCTGTCAGACAAATGTAGTAAAAAGTACAATATTTACTTCTAAGAAGTTAAAGTCTGAACTGATTCGTGACCGTCAGGTTCTTCTGCCCTCCTCCTTGTGTTTACATCAGCGGTGATGGATGGAGGGTCATGCAGGACCATCTGAAAGGTGAAGAAACTCAAACATAGTCGTCTTTAGAGGAAAATGTTGAATACAGCTGTTTGTTGAAGAAGTGTCTCCCTCGTCTTCCTCCCCCCTTCACCTCTCCTCCCCTCTCCTCCAGCTGCCGGCCGCGGTGGAGACTCGGTGTACCGGCTGTGTGGTTACATGTGTCTGGACAGCTCCGTTCAGTCTCTGGCTGACTCCTTCAAACTGGCCTTCAACAAGCAGCCGGACTCCAGGGTGAGAGGACTGTGTGATGTGATGCCATGTCCACAGCTGTCTTCTGTCCGTCTGTCTCCAGCCGTCTGTCAAAGTCCTTTAATGACAGAGACGCCAGTTATCTGGAGGTTCAAACTTGCCTCTGTTCAAATTCCTCTCCAGACAACAGCAGTTCTGTTGTCTCCTTAAACCCTCTCAGTCCTGAGCAGAGGATGGAGACTGATCCACATTTACATGGTTGTACAGTTAGAGAATTTATAGCTTTAGTACTTTCTCACATCAAAGAGTTTATATGTGAAAACAGATTTTGATTTTAGAAATAAAGGGGAATATTTGCTCCCACTTCTGCTTTGAGTGAAGTCTGTGTTTGACACAAATAAACTTCATTGTGTCAGACTCCACAGCTCCAAACCACAGACCGGACATAAGAGGTGGAGGTAGTCATGGTGGCGTCTCTCGTTGGTTTGTGGACTGATGTTTTGAAGCCTCCAGTTTGGCCTTTTAGCTCTATGCAGGCACCTATTGTCACCAATATCATTGATGCTCAGTAGATGGGTACCAACGATGTTCTGGGCGGTTTTTAATCATCCCTCCTGTTCTGTTTGTAATGTTTCCAGACCTGACCTCAGACCTGCAGTCTGTTGTGTCTGATGGACAGATGTGTCTGTGTTTGTTGACCTAAACGAGACAATCGCCTTTTTTATTACTGTCGCTTGTTGACTCGACAAACAGAAAAACACTCTGTGTGTGTCGACCGGCCTCTTCCTACGTAACGTGAGACAGACATCAATGTGTGAAAATCACCGGAAAACCTTTAGTTCCTAAACATCTCTTCATCTGCACACTTTTCCTGCAGACTTCTGAGCATGGATTGAATATCACAAACACTGTTTTAATAAAACAATAAAACCAGCTAGATATAGTTGGACTCACCTCCACACACAGCGCTGGCTCTGGAACCAAGCTCCTGGAGAGGGGTTGGACTTTGTCCTTTTCCGGAGTTGCCCAGGGTGAGAGGCACCGGGCGGGAGTGGGGAGACTCACGAGCCCCCGGCTGAGCGCCGCTGTGTTGGAGTTCTCCCCGGAGAACGAGAGGGTCGCCTCCATGCGCCTACGGGTTGCGGGGAGCAAGGCTCTGACTGTGGTTTGTGCTTATGCACCAAACAGCAGTTCAGAGTATCCGGCCTTCTTGGAGTCGGTGGGAGGGGTCCTGGAAAGGGCGCCGCCTACCGACTCCATAGTTCTCCTGGGGGACTTCAACGCTCACGTGGGCAATGACGGAGAAACCTGGCGGGGGGTGATTGGGAGGAACGGCTTGCCCGATCTGAACCCGAATGGTGTTTTGTTATTGGACTTCTGTGCTTGCCACGGTTTGGCCATAACGAACACCATGTTCGAACATAAGGTGGCTCATAAGTGTACCTGGTACCAGAACACCTTAGGCCGGAGATCAATGATCGACTTTGTAATCGTATCATTTGATCTGCGGCCGTATGTCTTGGACACTCGGGTGAAGAGAGGAGCAGAGCTGTCAACTGATCACCACCTGGTGCTGAGTTGGATCAGATGGCAGGGGAACCGGTTGGAAAGGCCCGGCAAGCCCAAACGTGTAGTGAGGGTGAACTGGGAACGTCTGGCGGAGGACCCTGTCTGGGAGGTCTTTAACTCCCACCTCCAGAAGATCTTCTCACACATCCCGAGGGAGGTTGGGGACATGGAATCCAAATTGACCATGTTCAAAGCCTCTATTGTGGACGCGGCCGCTAGGAGCTGTGGCAGGAAGGTCATCGGTGCCTGTCGTGGCGGCAACCCGAGAACCCGGTGGTGGAAGCCGTCAAGCTGAAGAAGGAGACCTTCAAGGCCTGGTTGGCCCAGGGGTCTCCCGAAGCAGCTGACAGGTACCGGCAGGCCAGAAGGGCTGCAGCTGCGGTGGTCGCAAATGCTAAAACTCGGGCATGGGAGGAGTTCGGGGAGGCCATGGAGAAGGACTTTCGGTTGGCCTCAAGGAGGTTCTGGCAAACCATCCGACGACTCAGGAAGGGAAAACAGGGCTTACCCCAGGCTGTTCTCAGCAGGGGGGGGGGGGTCTGCTGACCCGGACAGGGGACATCATCGGGTGGTGGAAAGAGCACTTTGAGGAACTCCTAAACCCGACCAACATGTTCTCTGCAGAGGAGGCAGTGCCTGAAGATCTAGGGGGAGGCTCACCCATATCCCTGGCAGAGGCCGCTGAGGTAGTCAAAAAGCTCCTCGGTGGCAAGGCGCCGGGGGTGGATGAGATCCGCCCTGAGATGCTGAAAGCGCTGGACATAGTTGGGCTGTCCTGGCTGACACGCCTCTTCAATGTCGCATGGGGGTCGGGATCAGTGCCCATGGACTGGCAGACCGGGGTGGTGGTTCCCATTTTCAAAAAGGGGGACCGGAGAGTGTGCTCGAATTACCGGGGTATCACACTACTCAGCCTCCCGGGGAAGGCTTATGCCAGGGTGCTGGAAAGGAGGCTCCGACCGTTTGTCGAACCTCTGATTCAAGAGGAGCAATGCGGATTCCGTCCCGGCCGTGGAACAGTGGACCAGCTCTTTACCCTTGCAAGACTACTGGAGGGGTTCTGGGAGTTTGCCCAACCAGTCTACATGTGCTTTGTGGACTTGGAGAAGGCTTTCGACCGGGTCCCTCGGGGGTTCTTGTGGGGGGTGCTGCGGGAGTATGGAGTGCCAGACCCATTACAACGGCGATCCGGTCTCTGTACGACTGCAGTAGGAGCTGTGTCCGCATTCTCGGCAATAAGTCAGACACATTCCCGGTGGGTGTTGGCACTCCGCCAGGGCTGCCCTTTGTCTCCGGTCCTGTTCGTGACTTTCATGGACAGGATATCTAGGCGCAGCCGGGGGGGTGGAGAACGTCAGGTTCGAGGGTCTCGGGATCGCCTCTCTGCTGTTTGCAGATGATGTGGTCCTGTTAGCCTCCTCGGATCGTGACCTCCAGCATTCACTGGGGCGGTTTGCAGCCGAGTGTGAAGCGGCGGGGATGAGAGTTAGCACCTCCAAATCTGAGGCCATGGTGCTCTGCCGGAAACCGGTGGATTGCTCCCTCCAGGTGGGGACGGAGTGCCTACCTCAAGCGAAGGAGTTCAAGTATCTCGGGGTCTTGTTCACGAGTGAGGGTAGGATGGAGGATGGAGCGGGAGATCGACAGACGGATCGGTGCGGCTGCAGCAGTAAAGCAGGCGCTGCACCGGACCGTCTTGGTGAAGAGGGAGCTGAGCCGGAAGGCAAAGCTCTCAATTTACCACTCGGTCTACGTTCCTACCCTCACCTATGGTCACGAACTCTGGGTCGTGACCGAAAGCACAAGGTCGTGGCTACAAGCGGCCGAAATGAGCTTCCTCCATAGGGTGGCCGGGCTCAGCCTTAGAGATAGGGTAAGGAGCTCGGTCATCAGGAGGGAGCTTGGAGTCGAGCCGCTACTCCTTCGCGTTGAAAGGAGTCAGCTGAGGTGGTTCGGGCATCTAATTAGGATGCCTCCTGGACGCCTCCCACTGGAGGTTTTCCAGGAACGTCCAACTGGGAAGAGACCCCGGGGAAGACCGAGAACACGCTGGAGGGATTACATCTCCCAGCTGGCCTGGGAATACCTCGGGATCCCCCAGAATGAGCTGGAACATGTTGCCGGTGAGAGGGAAGTCTGGGTCAGCCTGCTTGGCCTGCTGCCACCGCGACCCGACCCCGGATAAGCGGAGGAAAATGGATGGATGGATGTTTTAATAAAGTCCTCTCTGTCTTTGTCCACCAGATGTTTGCGTCGGCCAAGTCCCTGTTCATCTCCGATCAGGACAAAAGGAAACATTTCTGCCTGCTGCTGAGGCTCTTCTTGGGAAACAGACAGGAAGTGGGTTCGTTCCAGAGCAGGATGATCAAAGTCATCTCCAAACCGTCCCAGAAGAGGCAGTCCATGAAGAACGCCGATCGTGAGTCCGTCTGCTGATTTTATCATTATAAGTCACCTGTAGTTTAATCTAATGCAATGGTTTTTCAGAATCAGGTTTATGTCAGGGTTTGGGTAATGGTTGTAATGGTTGTAATGGTTGTAATGGTTGTAATGGTTGTAATGGTTGTAACGGCCGTAATGGTCGTAATGGTCGTAATGTTCGTAATGTTCGTAATGGTCGTAATGTTCGTATCGGCCGTAACGGCCGTAGGGGCCGTAACGTTCGTAACGTCCGTAATGGCCGTAATGTTCGTAATGTTCGTAATGGCCGTAATGGCCGTAATGACCGTAATGTTCGTAATGGCCGTAATGTGTCTAACAGGTCTTAAATGATGTGTCCACCAATAAAATGCACATTCCTGAGTCCCTGTTCTGTGTGTGTGTGTGTGTGTGTGTGTGTGTGTGTTCAGTGTGTATCTCCTCGTGCTCCAGAGTAGCTTTGTTCAACCGTCTACGCTCTCAGACGGTCAGCACTCGTTACCTGTCGGTGGACAGAGGAGCCTTCATCGCCAGCGCCAGGCAGTGGACCGCCTTCACCATCACCCTGGGTACGTGTGTGTGTGTGTGGCTCACACATTGACTTTTTATTCCATACTGTAAATGTCATATTAAGGACAGTCTATCAATGCATTGTCTGTTTGAGTTTAAATAGATGAAACGTGTTTTAACAATCTTCTTCTAGAGGAACTCTTCGTTCACATAATCACACTGATTGTTGTTCATTGGTCCAAATCATCAGCTGGTATGTTGAGTTCAGACTGTAAGAGATGAGACTCTGTTAAACCGTCCTCAGAGCAGTGAGCTGCTGTGAAGCGATGGACACGAGGACATGTGGATGGGGGGAGACGGGGATTCGAACCACCAACCTTGTGGTTAAATGGCGCCACGCTCTGCCCACTGAGTTTTAATCACGTTGTGAATTAAAACTCAACAAAACGTACTTGGTTATGTTCAGTAAAAACATCAAAGTTTGGCTTAAAATAAGTATGTTTCTGATGTTTTTTAAGTCATGGACATATATTAATATTAGTCAGTGTTGAGTTTTGGTTCCGCTCCACAGTTTGTGCAGCGTATCCTGCTGATATGATTATTAAGATGTAGGTTTCAAGCTGCAATACCTGGACAACATTAAAAGTCTTGTTACGGTCGTTTTATGAGCCAGTTTAATGTGCATTTTAAAAACTATTCTTGATCATTTATTTATTTCTTTAAACATTTCCTCACAGCCCGTCATTATAAACCTTGTGACAGGCCTCCTGTGCAGTGTGTGCCTCACCTTGCCTTGTTCCAAGTGCATGCTGGGATAGCTTCAGCTCCTCTGTGTCTATGCATCTGAGTCGCTTCCTGTTACAGCTGTAAACGTGGTAGTTTCTTTATTCATCTGACTTGTCCACATCTGTGGAGTCAACATCAGGAGACACTGAATCAGAGACCAACACTAGACGGCGTCTCCCCATGAATACGGTCACTGTGAGTTTCCCTCACACTCGTCTGAGAGCTTATTTATCCAACACCGACCTCCCACCACCAGCTACTAGACCTCAGTCATTCACACACTCACACACACACACACACACACACACACACACACACACACACACACACACTTCATATAACTCTGCCTGTTTCCAGCTTTTTATTTCTCACTCATCCCTCCAAACAGCCTAACGACTTTGCGCTCAGTCAATTCATTGTGTGTGTGTGTGTGTGTGTGTGCGTGTGTTTGTGTGTATGTGTGTGTGTGTGTAGTGGGGGACCAGCGTGCTGACCAAGGAGATTTTGTGCGGAGCGAAGGCTTCATCTGTTACGGCTGTGTGGTCCAGTTAGTGTGCACCGAGTCCGGAGCCGCTCTACCACCCATGGTAACACACACACACACACACACACACACACAGGAACACACAGATGTACAGTAGATGTACAGTCCATCATGAGGTAGAACTTTATCTCTCAGGTATTTACTGACCCGACCACTGTCGTTGTTGTTGTTGTTGTCGGGACGAAGGACTGTTGCTGTTGCAGCGCTTTGCATTCTGGGATAAAGTAGTTGAAGTAGAGACTGGTCCGATGCATACTGGAGATCTGTTGTGTCTCTCAGGGCCACCGTACAGAGGTGACTGCTGTTCACTTCAGCATCAATCCGAGTTAAATCCTTTATGAAGAGAAATGAGATGATCTCTTTCTAAACTCTGTGTGTGTGTGTAGAGCAGCACTGATGCATTGTGGGTCTGGTCTGATTGGGTCTCATCACCCCTCTGAGCCTCTACGTCTGTGCAGGTGTTACGTTACCTGCTGTTATTGTTAAACCAGACCTCCACTGTGAGTTAAACGTGGACAATTCCTCCACAATTCGCTGAGCGGACTCTTTTTTCCTCCTCCACCGCCGCCATAACAACCTGAAGGTTCATCTGCACCTCAACGTGTTTTTGTAGTTAAGGCCTTTTTGAAGACATTTTGTTCCTGCTGAGTTGTCGTTTGCGTGACGAGCAGCTGGAGGTTGTGGTCGGTTCTGAGGAGGTGAAGGTGGACCATCATTCAGCTGGATCAGCAGTTTAGTGCGTGCGGTGCAGTGATGCTTTCAGGATGAGGGCTCAAGGTCTGGAGATACCAGGAGGTATTCATAGTGGAGCAGCTGTAGTCTCGCTCACTCTCTCTCTACTCTACCTCTTCAGTGATATTTCATGCAGCCATGCATCCATCTTCCTCTTGATGTAAAGTCTGCAGATCTGTGTACGGAGAGTTTTTTGTGTTTTTTGTACCGTGTCATTGCCCTCAAGAGGCCTCAGAGTTCAGTTGTGTTTAGGGTCCAGTGAGGAGTGTGATTGGACCTCATTTAGCCTCTTTGCTGACTCACCTTCTCTTACGGTGTGTTCACACCAGACTTACTTGCGGCATCATTTGTCCGTTATCAACTTAAGCCATTTATCTCCTCCATCAACATGGAAGAAATAAGCTCTATTTGTGCTCAGAT